GAAGATATTTTGGGGCCTGGCCAACAATGGTGAGAGAGAACTCTCCCAGGGCATCCATTTTCTGTCCCTTGCATAAGTGTAACTGCCCATTGCCCATTAGGGCAGGTTTTGGTAGAAGTATAACAGTGTGTGGGGGGAGGGGCCTTGGAGTGAGTGCAGGCTGTGCAGGGGTCTCCAATGGTTTTTTGTAGTATGGCTCTTGCTTGACTGGGATCTCCAAATCCTGTCCTAGCTAATGGGAGGTTTATTGCCATTAACAGGAAGACCAGCATCATTGGAATCATTGCAGACCCTGAAAGAGAGAAAGAAGAGAGATATCCTCAGGAGGAGGGGGGCCTTCTGGGTCATCATGGACATCAGTGAACTCCCCCTCCTTAGGGGGGTAATACTTGAGATCCCTTGCAGGGACCCAGATCAGCCTTTTTTCATTGGTTAGAAAGACATAGCTGAATCCCCTTCCAGCTGTAATGAGGGGGTCTGGGCCCCTCCATTCTCCAGTAAGGGGGTCCTTCCATTGGGCTCTAATCATCCGATAAGTAACGGTTATTGTCCAGTGCTTTTGGAAGGGTGAGAAGTGTTCGCCTTTGGCAAAATTTAAAATATTTAGAGTAAATAATTCCATCTTTAGTTGATCATGGGGGGGGAGTGTTCCCCCTTTTTGTTTTATTATTTGACATTTGAGGGTCTGATTGTGTTTTTCCACTATTGCTTGTCCTTTAGGGTTATGAGGAATTCCAGTGGTATGGGAAATTTGCCATTTACTCAAGAATTCAGTGAAAGATTTACTAATAAAGCAGGGACCATTATCGGTTTTGATTTGATCTGGCAGGCCAAGAACGGCGAAACACTGGAGAAAATAGCTTATGGCATGTTTAGATTTTTCTCCCATATGGGCTGTAGCCCAACAAGCATGGGAGAAGGTATCAACTGTTAGAAATATGTATTTAAGCTTCCCAAAAGGGGCAAAATGTGTGACATCAGTCTGTCAAAGATTATTGGGCCTCAGGCCTCGAGAGTTCACTCCGCCTTTTGAAGTAGAGGAACTTGTAGAAAAGGCTGGCATGACTTACGTGTCCTAATGATCTTTTTTAAGTCTCTGACGGGGACCTCAGGGAACTGATGGTATAGTCCCTTCCAATTAGCATGTGTAAGTTGATGAAAAGAGGTGGCCTCCTGTCCTGTGTAGGCTGAAGCTAGTTGGTCGGCAAGAGCATTGCCTCTCGACAAAAAGCTTGGCAAATCTTGATGTCCCCTTAGATGTTCTACAAAAAGGGGAACTAGTCTCTGTTTTAACAAACTGCGGGCTTGAATCATCAAAGGAGTGATGGCATTATCGTCAAGTCTGATGTGTGCGCCCACAAGGTTGGGCAGTAGATTGACAACATAAAGGCTATCTGAAAACAGATTAAGAGGGCCTTGGATCTCAGAGCTAAAACAACAGCATAGAGTTCTTTAAACTGGGTGGATCCCTGTACCTCATGAAAGAGGGTTACAGCCAGAGGGCACTCACTTGTGCCTGGGGGGAACATTACCATGGAGGCTTCCCGTTTACCTCCTTTGGTAAAAACAGAGGGGAAAGAGGGGTCTGCCTCAGTGAGGAACATTTTTGGCGGCTGCCACGCCAATTGGCCAAAAGAACTCATCCATTTATAGGGACCATAGTGACAGTCCACTATCCCTGGAAAGCCCTCCATGGCTATTGCCAATCTGGAATTATTTCTCTGTAGCCACGAGAAATCACTGACCTGAAAAGGGATGATCAAAGAGTGGGGTTCACACCCAAAAAGACGGAGAGAAAGATCTCGTCCCGTGACAGTGCAGTTGGCCATTTGATCCACCATAGAGTACACTTGGGGTGCCCCTCCCACAGATAGATGTATCCAATGTACAGGATCTCCCTTCTGAGCTAAAAGGGCAGTGAGGAGGGTCTCTCCCACCATAACATAGAGGATCAGTGGCAAGTTTGGATTATATCTTTTTAAGGCAGCATTATCAATGGCATGTTGAACCTTTGTTAATGTATCTCTATGTATAGGGTTTAAAGTCACTGTTGAAGCTAGATCAAGGCCTTTTAATAGGTCAAAAAGAGGGATAAGATCAGCTGTGGTTATAGGAATCCAGGGCCTCATCCAATTGATTTCTCCCAGCAATTTCTGGAGCTGTGTTAGCATATATGCATCCTGAATACATAACTGTGGCTTAGCAGGGGAGACAACATCTAATGTTTAAGTAGTCCCCAAAATTTTAAAAGGGGCTATCTATTGAACTTTATCTGGGCCAATTTGAAAGTTGTAGTTTTTGAGCAGGGAAAGGCACCTTCTAATTTGTGGGAACAAGTGGCCCCCAAGATAATATCATCCATATATATGTAAAAGAGTATGTCAGATTCTTCTCAGCTTGTTGCTGGCATTCCTCTTTATACAAAGCACACCACTTAATATAAAGGGGGCCAGGGAGAACTGCTGGGGCAAGAGCCCTCCAATCTGCGGTGGTGCACGGATGGTGAGCAAGTCCCTGGGGGATGGTCTCAGTCCAAGGAGCATTGGGGCCATCCTCAAGAACAGCCTTCTTTAATTCCTTAAGGTCACCTGGCTCCCAAGGGTACCAGGGGGCAGGGCGGTTACCTCCGGGATTAACATTGACCAGAAATAGCTGACATGGCCCTGGGTTATGTTGTGGGTGGAACAATGGATTCTCTTGGGGTTGGCAGCCAATGGGAGAGCATGAGTCTTTATATGGGAAAGGGGCTGGAACCTCTGCCTGTTGGCAGCCAATAGGAGAGCATGAGTCCTTATATGGGAGAGGAGCCGAAACCCCTGCTCATTGGTATGGAGGAGGGGGTGCTGATGATGATTTGAAAGGGTTAGAAGATGTCTAGTACCAGGAAGTGGTGGGTACAAATGAGCCATGGATTTGGGAGGCCAGTGGGCAGCATCAAAAGGGTCAAGGGTGCCATTGCCATGATTCTCATCCAGCTCTTTATGGATTTCTTGTCCTGCTGGCATGGACTCAGTCTGAGGAAGGGGATCAGAATCTCCCCGCGAAGGGGCTCCTGATCCGGTGGTTTCCCTGTCTATCAAGTTCTTGGCAGCTGGCTTCAATGGCCAAGGAGGGAAGCAACTCTTAAGGGCTGCTAAAGTGGGGAAGGTCCCCAGAGGGGGGATATCACCCCGATTAACTTGGGCTTTGCGTACGAGTTGCTCCACCCTGTCCCAAGTTTCCCAGTCAAACAAATTACTTGCAGGCAGCCATGGGGCGACCTTAACTAAGGTCTCCCAGGTTTTGATAGCTTGGCTGTCAGAGAGCTCTAAGCCTCTACTTTGGAGGAGGACCCTAAGGGATTCAAGAGAGGGATCAGGCTTGGAAGAAGAGTGTCCCATATTTTATGGGATTACACTTACCCATAGTCCAATTAGCTCATCAGGGAAGTTCCTCGTTCCTCACATGGGGCACCAGTTGTTGCTCTTCAGCAACATGAAGGGGGGGGGGGGTCAAGCAGGACCAGCCTGTTATCCCCGGGGCTGAGTGAGAGGGCAAGTGTCGGCAGCTTGGACACCCTCCCCTGAGATCCGGGGAAAAACAAACCACACCAAGCCGGGAGATGTGTCAGCCTCAAGGGCGCAGCAAAACTCAGCTTTATTCCATCAGAGGCTTAGTTATATAGGGGAAGATGAGGAAATAATAGAAACCAAAGGGAATTGATTATCTCATCTGTCACAAGGGTCTTAGGCAGGTTTCAGGTTAGGTGGGAAGGCGAAGTTTGGGATAAGAGCACGCGCGCGGGAACTCAGTTGGGCCACGAATGCGGAAGTAATAAGGGAGGATGGAAACCTCCAGTCTGCGGCCATCACAGGCCTAAAAGAGGCAAAACAATTATTAATTAAAAGAGGTCCCAACAATTATTAATACATTAAACAATTATACACTATATTGAATGCCAACTTAGTGTTATGCATTATATTCTGTACATGGGTAGAGTGAACAAAGTGCTAATATCTGCTTATTTTCTAGTGGGGAAATAAGATCTATTTTGCAAAGAAGAGGAATAGAGCACTATAGGATTGAATAAATATGCTAAAGACTGATGTGAGGAAAGTGAAATTATTTTTTTTATTTATATTATAAGAATGGTTTATCTGACATTCTTTGACATTTATATCTATACATTTTGTGAACAGGTAAATATCCTTCTGGCATTTTATACTCATTGAATTGTAGTGTCATTTTATACTCTCCATATTGGTTGACTGAATTTTATACAATTATATTAAGGTTTTTTTCTTTAATACAAAGAGTTTGTATTATATTCTTAAATTAAAAAATACACTGTTGTTTAATTTTATGAATTGAAGGTCATGAGATGACATGAAATGAAGGAAGAGTATTGAACTTTTCAGATCTTATAGGACTGAACCATATTGCCATTTGTCTGTGAACATGCATATTCCTCAAGACTAGGGATAAATAACCACAAAGGCAATTCAGAGATCATCAGGGCTGCCTCTTTGGTTTACCCAGGGCAGAGGTTGCCATCATAAACCTAGGCAGCTCCAAAAACCTAGGCAGCAGTTGCCCAGAGCATTACAGACACAGAGCTATTGTGCTGGAAGGTCATCACCCCTACTGTTATAATCAAAAGATTTCTGTTTATTTACTACTGTTCTTAATGATAACCCAAATCTTTACCACAACTCTTAGCAATAAGCTCAGGGAAAAGTATTACTTCTCTTTCTCTTTAAATTTGCAGGAAAATCTAATTAATGATAGATGTGTACAATAGGAGAAAGACAAGATTAAGAAACTTTGGAGGAATTTCACTTAAGATACTGCTTTATCTGTTATGCCACATGTTTATTCTTACTCAGTGTCCTTTGGGATATTTCAAGATAGTGTGTAAATATTCAAAAACATAAAAAGACCCTGTGATTAAAATGCATTTGCATAAAAGAGTTTGGTCAATACTCCTTTATTTATGCTTTAATATTTTGTTATTTTTATAGAACCTAAAGGTGTGATTGAAGGGAATATCTGTCTGGCTGATCTTCATCATGAACCGTGCTTTCAGCAGGAAGAAAGGTAAGTGTGCCTATTTAAAGGACCCAGAGGGTCAATTCAATGTTATTCTGAAAATCAAGTAAAGCTGTTGAGAAATCAGTTTTTTCTATTATTTAAGCAAGTAGTTGAGGAATGAAGTTAGAATAGAAAAACATGTGTCTGCAAACATTGTTAATTAACTTTCTTTGGTTATCACCCTAATAAAAGAGTAGAGTTGTTTAATACACTTAATTCATAATGCATTTGTAATAATATGTTCTATGGCAGTTTTATTCTGCAGTGTGAAATTGAGAAAAGAAAGTCATCTGAAACTAGTCCTAGTAGATTACATAACCATGTAATACTAAATCCCCTGGGTTTACATAAGCATACTGTGATTTAAATTCACTTGTGTGTGTGTTTCCACATACTTCATTTTTTATTGAATAATATGTGAGGATTGATGAGAAATGAATTGATAGCAATGAGGCCAAAATAAGTTTGCTATCAATTTTTTTTAATTTTTTAATTTTGGTATCATTAATCTACAATTACATGAAGAACATTATGTTTACTAGGCTCCCCCTTCACCAAGTCCCCCACACATACCCCTTCACAGTCAATGTCCATCAGTGTAGTAAGATGCTGTAAAATCACTACTTGTCTGCTCTGTGTTGCACAGCCCTCCCCGTACCCCTTCCCACACTATACATGCTAATTGTAATGCCCCCTTTCTTTTTCTCTGCCCTTATCCCTCCCTTCCCTTTCCTTTTGGTAACTGTTAGTCCATTCTTGGGTTCTGTGATTCTGCTGCTCTTTTGTTCCTTCAGTTTTCCTTTGTTCTTATACTCCACATATGAGTGAAATCATTTGTACTTGTGTTTCTCCACTTGGCTTATTTCACTGAGCATAATACCCTTTAGCTCCATCCATGTTGTTGCAAATGGTAGGATCTGTTTTTTTCTTATGGCTGAGTAATATTCCATTGTGTATTCACCCTAAGAATGCAGCACTCCAGTTTGAAAAAGTTTGCTATCAATTTTAAGGTAGGAATTTAATATAAGTATAAATGTAATATATCACAGTTATCAGTATAGAAATGAATGAAAGAGCTAGTTAAATGTTATTTTTTTAAAAAGCAGGACAACTTGTCATTTGATAAATACTTCATGGTACATTCAGAGGAAAGATTGAAAATTTTATATTTTTATCTAGTTTAGTAAAGTTAAAATAATATGTTTTTGTCATTCTGGAAGGAGTTTTCTAGTGATGGACATGGCTGCTCCTATTTAATATAGTAATTAAATTGGGAGAGTACTTAAACAATGCTGCTCAAGTTTATAGGTGATTGAAAGCACGAAGAGTTAACTGATGTATTAGAATTACAGATATGTTGGGGGAAAATGAGTTGGTCATATTCCACACTATAAAATACTTAATAAGATATTATAAATTGTCAAATGTGAATTCAGAAAATCTAATGCTTTTATTCTTATTTATATATTGTTATTTTTTGGAAGATGTATCTTAGGTGCTGTGTTTGTAAAATATGACTGAAGAATAAAGTCAGCATTGTGATTCTAATATGAATTATGAACAGTCCAGAACCAGCAAATACATTGTTCTGTTCTATTACATGCTGTCAGGTAAAGAGTGCTCCCTTTAAAGGACTGATTGACAAATTGCAACGTACCCAGATTAGAAAGGCTGGGATGAGTTCAGGACTTTAAGCCATGTATCGGGAAGCATGGCTGACAACCCTTGGTGTGTTCTGTCAATGTTCAAGATCTGTCATGTGGTCATGGGACTCAGTTTAATAAAGGACAAATAGGTGTAAATTATAAGGTCAGTGATTTAATGCAGAAAAAAATTCCAAAGTTATACAATATAATGGAATTATTCAAAATACTACCTTTTTTTTACTGAACTGAGAGATATTCAAACATTTGGATATAGTACAGAGAATTAATGTATTCAGTAGTATTTTAGGTAATGCAACTTTTGAGGCACAAACCCTAGACAGCTATAAATTCTTTTTACTTATTTTTCTGAATAAGTGGAAGGCAAAATGACATTTATTGTGGTCTGGAGCCTGTTTCTGATTTAAAACATACCAAAAGTAAAATACTTTTTATTTTTTATTCTTTTACTAGTGAAAAAAAACCTAGGAGTAATTCTATAATATATAAAAGTGAGATTTTTAATTTTTTTTCATCACAATGTAGTTGATATATAATATTATATTGGTTTCAAGTATACAACATTATGATTCAATAACTATCTACATTGTTAAATGCTTACCCTAAGTTGTTTAGTTACTACCTGACACTGTAGAAAGATGTTACGGAACTATTGACTATATTCTCTATGCTGTACTTTCATCACCATGACTAATTAATTTTACAACTGAGATTTTGTGCCTCTTTATCCCAGTAAAGTAATAAAAATACATCACAGTTCATCACTTTGATCATATTCTCTTATTTTTAAAAAGTACTTCCAGTCCTCTTTTTTATTCATTTACAATTGCCTTTCCCATGGTTTTAAAGTTGAAACTCCATATTTCTAATTTACCCTTTATTTGACAGAGATTTGGAGTGGTTTCCCATTGAGAATGCCCAAGGGCTGAATAGCAGTACAACTAATTAACAATTGCATATTTGTCTTATTTGAGGACAGTGGAAGTGCAACCATGGGGACAGTTGGAATGATTTAGAGAATCAAGAAGCAGAAGTACTTGTTATTTCCTGCTTTGGCTGATTCATTCTCTTTAAATTTCCTTTGACTGTTTTCCCCCAAATATAATGATTAAATATCTTTTATCAGGAAACTGTTGATTAATATTTTACTCTAATTCCAAACTAGAATTTTATACTAGAAGTTCCTCATTAAGTTTACCAATTCTGACTTTCTCATTTAGTAAGGAGAATTCTTAGAGATGCTCTCTGTTCCTAGTTTTAACCAATAGCATTATTTGGTTGAATTTTAAGTTGAAATGAAAAACTTGAGTATTATGAGAGAAATCAATATATCTTGACAATCAGGAGCTGTAATTATGCCTCTAAAATATATAATTCAATCATATTTCCAGTAATCAGCATAAGCATACATTGTACACTGTATTCTAAACAAAGTAAGATGGTCTTCAATCAGTAACAGCTTATCACTTGTTTTATCACAACCAGCTCACTTGGTTGTGGCATACAATTTTACTAATTCATCCTGGACCCAGAAGCCTAAGGCAAAGAGTTATCTTAAACCTAAACATAACCTTTTTCTTTTTAATAACTCTTCCAATTAGTAATTTGTCTGGTATTCTTTGATTGAATTAGCCACATACTGATTTTCTTTGCAAATACTCTAATGGTATTAGAGTTGCTTATGAATTCTAAGAAGGACTGAATGTATTAAAATGCATCACTATGGACCATTTGGACTATTTTGAAGAAAAATTAGTCTAAGCTCATAACCATATATTAAATTTTAATGAATGAATTTGCTTTATAGTCCCCTTTTCTTATGCTAGCTTCCTCTTTGAATTTTTTAAATTCTTTATTCTATTTATTACATCAAAAATAAGTTAACTTCATAAAAAGTCATAAGACATCACAGGAGTAAATGGGATTAAATAATTCAACTCATTACACTTTGTTTTCTTTATCAGTTGATATACTGATGAGAAAATATACTTATAATGCACAACACTTAAAATCCAATATTTAAATATTTCCCTTTTTATGATCCATTCATATGCATCTGTTCAATAGCAACATTTAGTTTTCCATTTAATATATTCAAAGTAGATGCTTTCAATATGTTAAGCTCTGGTGATACAAGAATAATGAAATAACTTTCTTGATGAGCTCTTAATCTAAATGCAGTTTATTTGATTATATGTATTGATTAGCAGTCAGAGTGGTTTGACCCTTGTCAAATATTTTGAAATGTTGGCATTTCCTTTTATGTGAGTCTTCACTATTGAGTTAGTCAGTATAGTTTAATTTCAAGGAAGGGGACACATTTTAGAATGTCTATGTTCCCATTTGTGCACCAGTTCCATATATCTAATTGTTACTGTGGGTTCCCATAGTAACAACCACATATATATGAGTTAATACGAAGAGTTTTATTCTGTCAGTTTTTTCTTTTGCCAAAGTATAAATTAGGATGACTGTAAGGGCTCAGTTTGGAAATTGTTTAGGTACTAGAAGTATATAGTGAACACCCACTGAGCCATCAGTGTGTGATGTGTGGATGAAGATTTTTTTTTTGTCATTGTAGCAATTGCAGTTTATCCACAGGTAGTTTAATATTGTGATTTTTTAAATCTGTCACCAGTTTCAGCTGGCTACACCTACCCTCTTTCTAGGTCACTGCAGGATGAGACTGTAAGACAGGCAATATCATCAGTTTTGAAATAATAATAGCTTATAGGAGAAAGTAATTATCTCTCTGCCTCAGGTTTGGGATGAATCATATCATATTCAGACTAAGGCTTTACATCCTTCTGACACTGTTGTATATCTTGGGAAAAGAGATATGAGAAAACTTGAGTTAAAAAAAGTTGGATATCTTTTTATGTTTCTTAAAGGCAGGTCTTTGGTGTTTTTATTGTTTTGGTGTACAGTATTTTGATTTGTTTCTTTTAATATACAAGGGCAAGTCTATATCCCAAATCATTCTCTCCTTTAGGTGGAATAGACGGGGGCTGTATCAGCCCCAGGCTGGCACAAAGCCCCAGAACTAACCTCTGCTCAGTCATCACAATGTACGGTTGGCTGGGTAATATTAAATGTGCTCTTCTAACAATATTTTTTTTATTTGTCAAATGAATACACTCCAGTTGATCTAAAAACTTATCAAATGTTCTCCATGTACTCAGAAGTACAAATTATTCTTGAGTCAATCATATCTCCATCAATTAGCAGTCACAAAGAGAAAGCTCTAATTAAGATGAAAATCTACGCAAGAAAAAATTTTTTACACATTACTATCAATGTCAATATGTCAGTATTGTGTTTTTAAAACTTTCAAAGTATTGCTTCTCAAAATATTCTGCCCAAGTACAACCATCAAATCCCTTCAGTAGTTAGAAATGGCCCTAAAATGCACCATGAACATAAGATTATTTTGATCCTTCATTTTGTCTTAGAAATTCTTGTAAATATGGCATTTGCCTTTTAAACATATTTCATATAAATATAGCCTATTATACTTTAAATGGTATAAAATAATTTACATTCCAGTAATATATGGTATTTTCTCTATGCATTCACACTCCTCCAGCTTAAGAATATGTTAATGATATCAAATGAATTTCTGTTAACACCACTTTCAATTGAATATTGAAAGTACTTTGTTAGTAATCTAATATTTTAATGTGTGTACTTACATACTACTTTTCATGTAAAATATGTCTCTATTGATTCCATTCTGTTTATGATATTGATTTTAAGATTTTAAGTTTATGCAAGTAATAAAAATACAAAGCTCCACTGAAGAAGGCAATAAAGTCATTAAAGATTGAGAAGCTTTACTACAAATACAGTTTCCAAAAAAATAGACACATTTGATTTGTGTAAATATTAACATTCTTCCTTGTTTTCCCCCTTATACATTACACTAATATTTTGGGAGAAATGTGAAATATTTAAATAAAATTCAAAAATTGAATGAAAGGATATATTTTATTTTTCTATCAATAATATACAATACAAATTAGTTTCAGTATCTTCTTTTAGTTACTTTATTTCTAATTCTATTGTACTAATCTAAGGAACATTTCAAATTACTGAATTTAAGGTTATTTATATCCGAAACTCTTGATAGTAGATTCTCAGTCAATGTTTCTGTAAATTAGACTAAAAAATTATCCTAATATTATATTGATTCCTAAATGAATTTAGTAGATTGATTTATTTCAGCTTCATATAAATACAGTTATTAGTTTAATATTAAAATTCCCTTTACTAAATTGTTAATTTTGGGTATTAAAAAAGTCATAACAATCACAATGAGTAAAGATCAGATTACTTTTTACTGATTAAAGAATTAACAAAAATAAACTGCAATTCATGAGATGAGAAAATGAAAGAAGATATCACAAAATTAGGCACATTAATTGGTATAATTACAAATAGCCCATTAATGTTATTGTTTCATAACCTTAAAAACTCAGTACTGTTTTATTATTTGAAAACTTTTAAAAGGAAAAGCTAGGGACTTTCACACCAAGAAAAGAAAAACCTATAGTCATTTTCCAGCTACATTGTTCACATATCTGACTAGTTATTCTTTCTCAATTTAGAAGAAGAATCTCAGAATTAGAAATGCTTCCACTCATATTAGATTCTTTACAGATGCTAATGAATGAATTTGATACCATTAGAACCTGTAATTTAATTTAACACTGTGTATTCTTCATTGCAGACAAAACATGGATGCATACGCCTGAAGCTTTATCAAAACAATACATTCCCTATAATGCAAAGGTAAAATAGTTCACATGATATTCCTGAACTTTATTTTGTTATAGTATTACTATTAATTCATGGCTGATCTTAGAAAGATTGCTTGTGCATTGGCATTACCTAGTAGATGCTCCTTAAAATAAATTTATGTAAATAAAATAATTTCATAGTGTGTAGTATTGGAAGTTATTTTTCTCACCAAATAAGTGATTCTTTTTTTAAAAAATGTACTCTCTATAATTTCTAATTAAGTCATTCATGTATTTTGTTCAAATAATTTTGGCTGTTATTAAAATTATTTGCAACATCATAGCCTGTAGGAAATAAAACAACCAACAAATGACCTTCCTTTAGAAACATTCTAATGTTGTATCATGCAGACAAATATAAAAACTAACCTGGAAAAGAGAGAAATGAACAGCAATTTTAATGAATGTATTCATCATAAAAGAAGAAACAAACAAAACTTAAACTGTGAAAAAAACATGTAGAAAAAAGCACATATTTTTTGGTGTATCTTTTGTTCAGTTTGTTGCATTTTAATAGAGAAATAGAAACAATCTATGCTCCGCAAAGACTTGATTCATTGTTGATGTTGGAAAAATGGACAAGTGAATGAATGCAATTTACAAAAAGGCCCTCAAAGGAAGGTGTTATTTTATATAATTAGTGAGCACCAAATCTGAAATAGATTTCAGAGAAATCTGAGTCTAAATTTGGAAGAGAATTAAATTTGGAAGTGAATTAAAGAACTGGGTTTGAGAATATGAGAGTGGGTGAGACATAAGCAACTGACCTTTGCATGCAGCAAGGGAGCAGACAGAAAATGATAAAGTTATTTTTATAAGAGAACTTAAGGGTTTATGCATCAGTAAACGATATACCAAGCTAATAATGTGATTAGGTATAAGGAATTATTTCAGGAAAAATTATTTAAAAATTTATTGAACAGAAGATCACTGGTGTTTAATAAGGAACCTGTAGAGTGCTGGTCTGAGTGTGAATCAGCAGGAAGAAGCATTTTGAAAGACCATTTGAAGTTCTTGCAGAGCTTTTGCCCAGCAGTGAGATTTGTAGAGTGCAGCGATTATGTTTTCTTGCTGAAACCTATCTAAAATATTTTCTATGTAAAAGTAATATACTTGAAATCATTACAATACTTATCAATTTCCCTGTAAAGTTAACATAAGCATTGATTGCTGTGATTTGAGCATGAGTTTAGTTATCTGAATGAGACAAATTGAGTTAATATTATCCATCGCATTCACAGATAATCCTCACATTAAGTACTGAGAAACCATATGAAAACTACATAGAAAAAGTTTAATCTAGAAAACCACTGTTATTTTAAAGTGCATGTTTAGTGTTTAACAGTATTACTGATACTATTAGAATTATATCCTTCAAGTGAAACCACCGCAGATGATTTATTTTTATATATGACTGAAATGTCTCATTTTGAAAATTTTGGTTCATAAAGGATTGAAAAATTCTAATTTAGAACTATTTTTAACTTTCACTGTGGACTAATGTGACAATGGAGATGATCTTGTCTACATGGAAAAGTTGCCTATGTGAATTCACAGGTACAAACCTCTACGAGACATCCCCTATGAAGTAGAAAGCACAGAAACATCTTCCTAGACTAGGTAGGATCAGTAAAATACAGAAGAACAGGTTGATTTTGTCCATTCTAATAATGGCCTCCTGAGTGATAATGTGTGCCATGTACTAAGTAGTATTAAATCTATTTGATGAATTTTTCTTTTCTGAATTCCCTTCTTTGTGGCACTTTTAACTTGATCATTTAGCAGTTATTTTTGAAAATTTTCTGTGTATTTTTTTAGAGTATGTACTCTTGAATATCAAATCCATGCCTATAGGAAGTACCTTATCACAACAGAAAAAAATACAGACTCTAGAACTAGAGTGCCTTAGTTTATATCTTGACTCCAACGCTTATTTGCCATGTGCCTTTGGGCAACTTATTTAATGTTTCTGTGGTTATTCATCTGGAAATAGGAGTAAGAGTAATTTTTCATTAGAGCTGTTATAGACATAAAGGTGTTAGTTACATATTAGAAGAGTATCTGGGATAAAATAACTACTCAAAAGTTAGCAATCATTAATTTATCTTCTTATTTTTCACAAGACTTACATAAAGTGCCTGTTTCATTGTAGGTTTTTAATATATATGAATTTGATAAATTAATGTATAATAACCTTCTTAAGGTAATTACAAAATAGTTATATTTCACTGAGCCCCAATATATGCCAAGTACTATACTGGTGTGTTTTTAATTATCTCATTTAATATTTGCAATGTGCTAGTATGGCAATGATTAATCTTTACATAAGACCATCACACTTTACATAAGAGAAACCTAAGGCTGAAAGATTAAGTAATTTGCCTGTTGTCACAAAGCTAGTAAGACAGGGCCAGACTGATTAGTTTACCCATTACTTGGTGCAGTTGCTGAGATGTCACTGAATGTTGGTGAAGCCTCAGAGCTATATGACATGTGGCTTATATTCACACACATCTTACTGTCGCAGGGAAATGTAATACAAAAATAACTAACACAGAAGACAGATCATGTTCTATGCCATTCAGATGGTACTTAACAGAAAGCTATAGAGAGTCAGAGAATGACAACAATCGCTTTTTATGAAAGTGGGAGTGAGGTAGGATTTCCAAGGGTTAAAACAAGGGTGGAATGGCTTTTCAAAGTGGAATTCTGGAGGAGGATAATCACAGAGGCAGTAAACTCTAAGGCACACACTGAATATGACAAGTGTTGGACTGGGGCATAAGGGACTGTTGATGCTAAAATACTTTATCAGTCAATGCTCCATCTGAGAAACAGAACTAATAGGATGTACAAACTACACACACACACACCTATTTCAAGGAATGGGTTACCCAGTTTTGTGGGGCTGGTTAGGCAAGTCTGAAATCCATGTGGCAGGCCACCAGGAAGGGCAGGCCAAAAACTGGACAGGAGCTAACTATAGGTGAAATTTCTTCTTCAGAATCACAGCAGTTCTTTTCTTGAGGCTTTTAAATTGATTGTATCAAGGCCAACCAGATTATCTCAGATGATCTCCTTTACATAAAGTCAACTGACTATAGATGTTAGTCATATGTATGAAATAACTTCATTGCAACATCTAGATTAGTATTTCATTGAATAACTGGATAGTGTAACTCAGCCAAAGCTGACATATAACACTGACAATCACAAGTACTAATGATAGAAAAGACTGAAAAGATGAATTGGAAAGACTTTGAATGGCAAGAAAGCAGTTTGAGGAGCTAAATAAGCAACGTGTACTTTAGGGACATAAATCTGTAATGATCTGAAAGTTGATTTGGATCAAGAGAGCTAGGATGACATTAAACTTCTTAAGAAGTTATTTTAATGATCCAAGTGTATGATCCTAAGTTTACATAGAGTAGTAGATAAGCATACAGTGGAAAATAAAGGCGCTAAATATTCCAAGGGAAGAACGGATTATTTGTAATTATTTGTATGTAAGGGAAAAATAAAAATACTCTTTTTTTATCCTGGCTAAAGGGTGACTGGTCATACCATAAAAAGATTCCAATCACTCCATTCACTTTTGGCATCCGCTGGTTACTAACTAATCTGAAAACTTTAACAGAGCTGTTTAAGAATTATAATCCTCCTTGGGGAAGATATAATAATATTTACCTTTAGATGTTTTTAGTTTTAAAGTAATAATGTTCTATATTAATTCCTTTAGTTTATTTTTAAATAACATTTTAGCTCCATATTCTTTCATCTTATAGAACATTTCAGTTCAAAAATTGACATTTAATATTCATAATATATCTATTTCAGATTCATAATATATCTATTCATAATATATCTATTTGAAATAATAGTTATTTTCAAAAGTATTATGCTGTATCAGGTTCATTGGTTTTTGTATTTTCAAATGAGCAGTGCAGCATTAATACTAGTTCATTGGGAATTCTATATATTATCTTGTGTACCCTGTGGTGAAGTTTTTCAAACTGCAGGTTATGGTCCTTGAGAAAAATTGGGTGGTGAAATCAATGCAGTGTGTCCTGGGAGGTGTGATTTAAAGATGAACTAGAACAAAATAGAAAAAGAGAATAAATTTTTATAATGCATGTGGTAAACATCAATTTGTTTCATAAAATTGTGGTTCATAGTCATAAAAGTTTGAAAGCCATAGCCTTTGAACAGTAACCTGCCTTTAAATAGTACCAAAGACTTCACCATATTTAACTAATTTAAATCATAAAATAATAGAGGGAGCTGTTTAAAAGAGGCATTACATTTTTAATAGAAGTGATGATCCACATGTAAATTTAACCACATGTCTTTACTGAATATAACATTTTAAAGTAATTTCTGAAATATGCATATAAACATAGTAAGTGATAAATAAACAGTAAAATTTAAATATAGGCTCACTTGTGTACTCATTCGTTCACACATGTGTTCACTCATTTGAATTGAGTTCCTAATATATACCAGGTCTAGACAATGGGAATTGATTAGTGTACCAAATAGATGCCCTCCTGGGACTTACATATAATAAGCAAAATAAATACATTTTGGAGAGCTATACAATAAGAAAATAATAGCTGTGTTTTTATTTGTTAACATGCTATTAATTATTATTTATATTTTATATAGTATATATATATATATACTTAGTACATATATATATATGGGGTATTATATATATTGGTAATAACACAATATTTTATTTATTAATACAGTATGCCAGGCTATAATAATTCCTATGAAGAAAAATAAAGCAGGATAGTGGGGATTGAGAGGAGCTATGCTATGTTACATAAAGTGGTCAAGGAAGATCTCCGAGGACAGAGGCCTGAAGGAAGTGAGTGAGTGAGGCATGTGGCTGTATGGGGGTAGAGGACTCCAGACATGGCTAGTACAGGCAAGGTGGGGCCAGGGTGGCTGGAATGCAGTAGAGCACAGGGAGATGTAGTAAGTCCA